TCCCTTGATATCAGCCATTCTTTCATGCATCCTTGTAAAGTCTAGCCCAAAGACATCTCAAATGGGGGGCTGACACCAATCGCTGGTATGTAGCCTTTCAACCACAGTGGGTCTGGGACATCTTCTTTGAACATTTCATTGCTACTCAGCTGCTGTATCAGCAACACTGGTGTCCTTCCCGGGACTCCAGAAAGGCCCTTGGGGTGAGGATGCCAAAGGCCTCGTTCTTATTTGATGTAATGGTCTGTGAGAAAGTCCTTGGGAGACAGGAGGAAGAGCCGCAGACGAGGCAATGGTCAGTTGAGAGGCAGCTGAGTCTGCAGAAGCAATGGGGGAATGGCAAACCTCTCGGAGGGACCCTCCGTAGTATCTTGGACTGTAAAGGTGAGGGGGGAGAGATGTTCTTTCGGACTTGCAAGATTCTGTTACTGTAACCTTACAGTGAGAACCAGTTTGGTGTCGGGATTAAGGCGTCAGGCTAGAAACTGGGAGATTGTGAGTTCTAGTCCCACATTAGGCACAAAGCCAGCTGGGTGACCGTGGGCCAGCCCCTCTCACTCAGCCTTAGGAAGCAGGCAAGGGCAAACCACTTCCGAAATCTTGCCAAGAAAACTGCAGGGACTTGTCCAGGCAGTCGCCAAAAACAACAACAAAAAAAACCTTACAGTAAACGTAACGTCAGTACTCGTGGTTGGTGCTTCTTGTCTGGACTCCTCGAAGGGCTGACATTTGCTGATGGTCTTCTGTGGGTCACTTCCCAGCTCGCATGATGAAAGCATAACTAGCAGGTTGCTTTTTCCATCTTAAGCTCCTATGGGCCTTTTGACTTAACCGTCACCTATAGACTAGATTGCTCCCCCAAGTCCTGCTACACAGCCTCATCGCGGCAGAGGTGGGGTGGGGATCCAGGGAGGGATGAGCGAAGAACGTCAGGACCACATGCCCGGAGCAGGTATTCCCAGCACAGGGTCTCCCGAGGGGGGAAGGTCATCCCGGCTGCAGAGCTAAAGCAAGCAGGCGCCTATACCGGTCAGTGGTGATGGAGGAAGACGCTGGAGGCAGAGGATCGCT